GTCGTCTGCATACTCCATGCTTGTCAGTCAATCATTAGGTAGAACTTCCAGTCGGGTGGAGTCTGAAAGAACGGAATCATTCATGAGCCCTTCGATAACAAAGTTGACTAGGAAAGAAGATATAGGACAACCCTGGCGAACCACACATTCGTGGGGAACTCAGGAGACATTTTTCCGTATACCCTTACACGAGGTCGGGAGCCACGGTTGAGATACTTAAGAATGTAAAAGTATTTAGCCGACACGCCATGCATGGATAGGCAGTGCCACAAGCTGGCGCGGTTAACAGAGTCGAAGGCAGCTTTCAAGTCAAGGAACACTTCCATTGTCGGTTGTATGATTGTGTCTCTGCTCCAACACTTGGAGAAGAAGAAATATGTGGTCGATACAACCAAGACCAGGGCGGAAGCCAGCCTGGCTTTCAGCGACTCCGTACTCACGGGGACCAGTAAGTCGTCGGAGAATGATACCTGTGAGGAGTTTGGATGCAATGAAAACAAGGCTGATGCCCCGATGACTTTCGCACATAGTACGTTGAACCTTCTTGAAGATAGGCACGACAGTTGACAGTCGCCCGTCTGAACGAATCTCTTCTGTGTTCAAAATCGTGTTAACTAGTATAACGAGTCCAGTCAACAAAGGGTTATCATCCTTTTTCACCAAAGATGGAAGGTCGTCGGGTCCAGGAGCCTTGTTTCGTTTTCACAAGGAAAGCACATGTCGAATCTCTCCGACAGTGGGAGGTGTCACATCTGCTTCCCATGACGGTTGAGGCGATCCGCCAAGCGGCAATGTCGTAGCAGGCCCGCTAAACTGCTCTACAAAATGTTCCGACCAACGGGCCAGCCGACGATGCTGAGAATAGATCAGTTGCCTGTTTTCTCAGCTATTGTTTCGCCAACAGATAATTTTCTCGGACCCGTGTTCCGGATGAGCTGAAAGAGAACTCGGCCGTTTCCAATAGCACTGGCTTTCGCCATTTCACGGACCTTCGTTATCCATCAACGTTGCCGGGAGACTCCTTATGATTCGTCGTTTCAAAGAGTTATGGACACGCTGAAGCTCAGTGCCCATCGAAACCCGTTTCCGTGTTCTGATCAAGCTGATAGATGCCTCAGAGAGCCATTCGCAGCTACGACGTCTCAATTTCAGTGCACGGCAAGCGTCATGACACATTTGGGATGAATCCAGTCAGCGGTCGGCTCACAAAACACACACACACATATATATACATATATATATATATGTATATAGTTGATACCATCGGATTTGCCTGTCACTGCGGTCTCCACGGAAACCGCCGCAGACTGTCTGCGCCCACAGAAAGACTATGGGTAGGTTACGGTGCATCACCCACAGCTCCAAACACACACCCCATTTTTAATGTAAACATGGCATGCGGGTGGGAGCCGCGTTTTATCAACGGAGCCGGCTCACACTCCTTCACAGGCAAACACAAGCACGCTATATTTGGGTACCAAACAAACACAAAAAGGTGACTGGACCGTAGTCCGCTCCACACAAACTGTGTGCGTGGAACCACTCTTCGAGCCTAGTACGGCCACGAGGACTGTGCACCCCGTCCCCTCCAGCAACGACCAAGTGTCTCCTGGATCTCGTATAGACGAGGTGATGGGTAATATACAGGTAGGCATCTTGACAACATGCACATCAAGCGAAGCCACACAAGGGATGTCGAGCAACAACCAAACACATGAAATGAAATAAACCAATAAAATAGGTATAAAATACAATGCGGAGATACCGCTAAAGCAACACATGATATAAATGGATTATCAACATAACCACGATAAATTGAAGATGGTAGAGAAAGAGATCAATAAACGTATGCAGAATAGAGAAAACAAACGAAGTTGGACTTTACGTCTAAGCGACATTTGCAGTTTAATATAATATTGAGGTAGATATAAAAATGAAGTAAGAAACTAAGCATTAGGACAACAAACCCACCACCGGTAAAGAAAGAAGCAGCACGCAAGCACGCGGTTAGTAAGTCGAATGCAGCGTAGCTACCAACGCTGCGCCGGTGCTGCTTACGTTCTCAAAAGGACCCATCGTCGTAGACGTCTTAATTTTAACGTCTACGGCGTCATATATATATATATATATATATATATATATATATATATATATATACTATTTCAGAGATAATTCAGCAAAGTACACTTTCAGTCAACAGGTATTGGCAAACATGGAAAAGCTGCTGACATTCGGAATTCATGGGGTCGGAACTCGGCAAGGGTCCAAGGAAGGCGCACCACTGACGAGACCCAGAAGGTCAAAAATCGCTGTTTGGTGCTCCTCCAGATTTGCCAATGCTTTGTGACCGAGAGCGACTGTGATGAATTACCTCTGGATTATACCAAAATCCCAAATACTCGTTAGTAATCTAAAATCCATCCGCTCGTGTAGCTTCTAAGTGCTGTGTCGTACACAGTGCGTATGCGAAAAGTACTAGCTAGTGGGGCTAACTGCTGTCCTCTGTACAGTTCGTAACTTCATGGAAGTGAAAGATGAGCCGAGCTATATCATAGTCAACTGTCAATCATGCAGGTCCGCGGTCGTCACTTATGGCCTGGTGGCGCTAGCTGCTGGCATCCGGAAGTCATGGGGATGGAAAACAGCAGGCGTCAGAGGAACGTACATCACTGACGAGGCACACTAGGTCGAAACAGCGCCGTCCGGTGCTTTCCCAGAAGTGTCCAAGTCTACTGACTGAAAGTGCACCCAATTATAATAAAATCCGTACTACTTATTAGTAATATACATATATCCTTATCGCGGATTTGTCGTTAACCAACTTACTTCATATGCTAATTTAGTGAAGAGTTATGCCACCGTATCTGTATGCATCATTGGATTTATTTTATTTGATATCGTCCTTTCAAGTGATTAGATGTTGACTGATATCCCCGATGTGGCTGCGCTTGATGTGCATGTTGACAAGGTGTCTACCTGTCTATTACCCACAACCTCATCCATACTGGCTCAAGGAGACAGTTGGTCGTTGCTGGAGGGGACAGGGTGCACGGTCTTTGTGGCCGTGGTAGGCTCGAAGAGTGGTTCCATGCACTTGCTGATATGGCAAGGAGCCGACCTCAATGGCGTTCGTGCTGTGAGTTTCTTTGTCCCACCCCATACCACTTAGCCTCCCCCTCCAACCAAGATCTCATTACTTAGCCTTATATAATTTTGCATAATAATTTTTTTTGGGTGCACAGCAGCCGGCTGGTAGCTTACCGGAACGATGCCCATCCGTTACCGGTAGCTCAGCCAGCTTTCACCAGTTGACTTTTTCTCTCCTTTTGCTTTGTATTGCGGCACAGTAGCTGAGGTGTCCCCCACCTCTAGCTAACGTGTATGATGATGATGATGAGTGTGGAGCCTTGTGTGCGTTTGATTCCCCAAATACAGCGTGCTTGTGTTTGCCTGTGAAGGAGCGTCGGCCGGCTCCATTGATGAAACGTGGCTCCCACCCACATGCCTCCCGGTCTTATTCCTTCGGGTTTACATTGGATATGGGGTGTGTGGATGGAGCTGTGGGTGGTGCATCGCAAGCCACCCATGGTCCCTCTGTAGGCGCATGCGTCTTGTGGTTGGCCACAGTGACAGGCAAATCCGAAACCGGATGCCGCCAACCATATATATATGTATATATATATATATATATATATATATATATATATATATATATATCAAGCGGACCTAACAATACGCCATCATGCTTCCGCAAACTGCTTATAAAACCTGATGGGGCTCCTAAACCGAAGTGCGAAAGAGCAGTCTCTGCACATCTTTTGAGGTTGACTCCAACACTAAATTATGCGAGCAGTAGACTCCTGTCGCCGTAGAAAATTTTTCAAGTTCAGTCAGTAAAATTCAGTGTGGAAACATAACGGAGATGTTGTATGGGTATTTCGGAAACACAGATCACGTCAACTCCGTGGAAGCCTTAGGTTGTAATAAGTGTCATCAGTTGATCGAGTTGGCACAATGTGTGAGCAATGAAAGGCCTATAAATGTAATAATAATGTGTCAGCTTTACGCAGTAATGGCGCTTCACTGCCGCGCCACCACCACCATTCGCGTGGGGGCTGAGTATACCGTGAGGACGCCCACCCCTACGCGGGTAATGAAAGGACTACTGTGGAAGGGTACTTAAGAATAAAAGATACCTATCATCCGTACCAGAGCGATGGGCGAAAACAGTTACGCTTTCCTACTGGTTAACGCGAGATGTTTGGAAAAGAAAAGATGAATAACAGAAGAGACCACCGGGTCTCGCAAGTAGATGATTCCATCAGGTTGCAAAGTGTAAAGGAAAGGCCATGTCCAAGGATACCAATACACGTATTTCGATCCACCTGTCTGATTAACAAGTCAAGTGCAGCTGTACGGTCCTAATGGAATTTGATTGAAACTGGCAGCAAGCAGTGATGGAATGTCCAGAAGATGTAGGCAAGTCTTCAATTGTAGCGGAGTAAGTATCCACGATCACGTGTAACTGCAGTTGAGGTTTGTATCCGATTACCTATGGACCATATGGATCGAGGCGGATAACAACAAAGTGGTATGCAAGTCATAGCCCCCCTGCTGTCAAAGACAACGCCTGGTATTATCACTCTACGTCAGTCGGACTTAACCTATAAGCCGTCCGTGAATTTTAGGAGAAGAGGGCAATTTAACTGCCGTCAACCTCGTGAGAGGAGAGTGAAGAGATTGAGCTTAGCTGACCACCAATTAACGACCTGTGCGGAGGCAGTGGCACCGAAGACACTTAGAAAGCGCCATCTAGTGTTACTTAATGGATCGCGGGGGCACGCAATCCAATGTATCATACAATTGCATATTGCGGCAGAATGGAGATCACTGATGAATAGATAATAAGGTACTGCTGTTTCACAGTGGGGGTATCAGCGGTGCATATGGAGCGGTAAAACAGTACAGAACGAATACTATGAAAGTCAATGGGAACGTACATTGTTACAAATACCGAGGAACTTTCTTTGCGATTGAGATCAACTAGAGCCACATGTTCACGTTCGACAAGGGCCAACGCCTCGAATTCATACTTGTGGATTAAATCCGAGGATTCCAAGGGTGGAAAATCAGAGTCCACACCTTCATCCGGGGAGTCAAGGAAGTAAACTGAAATTCGATCGACAAGTCTTCTGTGGTAAGAAAAAGAGAGGATAGTTAAGTTGTCCAAGTGTAAGTGTTGTCATAAAAGAAGTCTCGTTCAAAAATACAACCCCAGTAAGTCGCATAAAAGCAACGCATGATTTAGGCATATGCTCCCCTCCAACGACCCTGAGCCTTTTGCATCGTGTGAAGTCGAATAACTTGCAAACTAGGATGTTATAAAGCCCAAGCAGACCAATGAAAGCGGTAGAATAAGAAAAGTGTGAAATCCCCAGTGCCTTCGAAGGTTAACAAAGAGGTCATTGGTGGCCGCTCGATAGAACAAGCCATCACTAAGCCCAAGGGGTTAGCACGCGCAGAAAGAGATGGGAGATTGTGAGAACAGAGGAAATAAAAATAGAGAACAGCTGGATACTGCGTGCTGCCCGTGATGGAATAGGTAACACAAGAAGAGGCAGTAGATGGGCACAGCTAGCACAAGTTACCACAATTCCCATGAGTAATTCTTTCAATACAAGTGCGGTCTGTCTAGACCCGTCTGAGAGGTAATAGAGTCCTTACAACAAGTTGGAGGAATAAGACTAGATGAGCCCATTCCAAGAAATCCACAGGGTTAAAGATGTGGTTGGAAGGACTGTGGATTTATTTACCACCAATGGGAAACCAATTCCTCCCAAATGTGGCGCGCCGTGAATGAGTGGAAAGATGAAAAACGCATCAAACCAGCGGCGGCGCCACTTACCTAACCTCGGTAAAGTTGACCATGGCAATAGACTGTAATGAGAATGTGAAAAGTAATCACCTAGCCGTAATGTCTTGATTCCATCGAGATTGTGAAGTCGTATATGCAATCAGCAATCGGAAAGTGGGAGAGGGAAGATTGGTGACGATGAATCTCATTGGTGCTGCAATTCTCAGACATCAAGATCAGCCCCGGATAAGACTTAGAAAGTAACCAGGCGAACAAAATGAAGACGATACAATTAAAGCCATAGTAAAATTGTCTGATGGCTCGAAAGTATTAAGCAGATATGAAATTCCGTGTGGCAAACTCGCAAAAGGGTCGATGTGACATGGGGTAACCTAGTCCACTACTAACATTTCAGACGCGCATGCACAGGTTCGTGTGCAACTTGGACGTTTAGGTGTCTGCAGGAGGAACGTTGTTATCAAGCACAACTCTCACGTAAGAGGCAGCAGTGTGATTCAGACGTTCGTCGTGATCTGACTACCGGGTGGTTGATCTAGTAACCGATATAAGTAGCCAAAACGGAGAAAAGCTGGATAGACGAATGAATTGAAGGAACAGAGTAGTAAGGGAAAGTAACTTGCGTGCCCAAAACGCTAGAGAACGCTAGCAGAAGAAAGCAACAGCAGAAGTAGTAGGATAAATAAGATAGAAGACACAAACTCGGCAGTGAGAGTTTGAACTCAGCTATACCACCACACAGGAAGACGATGAATATTAGTGCCTATCGGAAGTTGGTCAGTTTCTTCACATCCTTTCAAGCTAAGTCAAGTAAAAAGCTTTTACGTACTCTAGCAGATACATTTTCAACATTCTACACTAACACTGCGAATGTAGAAATATACGAAGGCGAAGAAACTGACTGGCAGCAGAATGAATGGCGGAGCCTTCAAATTCGGCCTTTGCTGTTCTCGTTGAATTATTTTACACTACCGACTGCGGATTCTGTATTTTATTTTTAACTTGGAAGCAATTTATTTTTTCTGATCAAGTGTCAAGGTCAATGTTATCCTACTCCGTCAACCAGTCCAAAACGTTACGTGTTACTGCCCTAAATCTGCGCCTTATCGAATACGCCCACAAAGTCAGGAACACTTAAAAACGTATTACGAATGTCTTGAAAAAAGCGCAAGCATCGTGCTGGCTAGCAACCTGGCCTCAGTCGTTGTTCTGTCGACAAAGCGCAAATCCCACTGATACTTCACAGTAATGTTCGCCCGCTTCTTAGTAAAATCAGTGATCTCAGGGCCATTATACAGTAAAATGAGTATTTTAATACAAGAATCAATGTTACAAGAAAGTTGGTTGCATACTGATGTGGAAAATGGGGTAATTCTACGCGATGGTTATTTTCCCATCAGGTCTGACCGCCCCGCAAAGCCCCAGTTTCGTGGTGGTGGCGTTATAACTTACGTTAATCAACGTTGGTGCAACGCAGCAATCATAATATTTACGTACTCAACAATTTCTATAAGCTGCTATTTAGTTGAGTGTAAACCGAAGTGCCTAAAGTGGCTTTCAATCAGCCATCGTTGGAAACGTATACATTGCTTCTGACACATCTGCATCGGAGTTAAAGCTTTTTGAGGGCCAAGTTTGTTCAACGCTACTGCTTAAATTAGATTGTTCTATCTGTATTGTTGTTGGTGACTTCAATAGGAAGGATACAACATCCTTGAAGATACTTGGCTTGGTAGACAGTGACTGTTTCGACCAGCCAGTTGGATGCTGTCTTCACAAATAAACGACAGTTGTTTGCCATACAAAAGCGGGCTCCTTTGAGCAGCTCAGACCATTGTAGTTAAAAACTGTGTCCAGTCATGTACACAGCAGGTCTAATTTTTTAACGCTGACCAGACGTTTATACAAGATTATCAAACGGCGAAATTGCTCCTTGGAAAATATCACGAGGCTCCAGACGGTTTTCCTTTAACTGATTTTCCGATCTTCCACGACGAGGACCTGTCGCTCGAATGTGCCCATCATACGGACTACATCAAATATTGCTTTGACATGTGTTGCCCTGTTGAAACGATCTATCTAAGAGTAGATAGATTTTCATCATCACTACTACAGCGATTTCGAAGGATGAAAGAATGGGCATACAAGTGCAAGGATGCCACCTGTGTCAAAAGCCTAATCAGAGCAATAAAAATCGAGATAGAAAGACTAAACCAGTTATACGTTGAAGCAGTTCTAGGCAACTATAACTGTCGCGATCTATGGAGGCTTCTGAGGTAGCTCTGTGGTAAGAGGGTTTGCAGCGAGAGAGATGAAGTGGAGGTGGATAAACTGAATTCGGAGTTTAGTTCCGCCACATTAAGCTCATCTTCCTTGCCCTCCTTCATTAGCTCAGGTCCAGCCGCACCCTTCGATAAAAGCAACATCCACAAGGAACTCAAAAGATTAAAGGCAACCAAAGCTTGTGGTCCGGATGATCTCACACCATTAGCTTTGAAGGAGTGTGCTGATTCTTTCACCCTGCCTTTAACAGATCTCTCTAACAAATGCCTCAATACGGGCGTGATCCCGGAGATTTGGAGGACGGTGAGTATCACTCCAGTACCAAAAACTGGATCTCAAAAGTATTGCCCAATTGCACGTACATCTGTTCTCCTAAAAGTTTTCGAAAGACTGTTAATTCTGCGGATTTTTTCAGCCGCTCCTGAAGACGATATCTACCAGTTCGCGTATGGATCCCACAGCTCCACATTGGATGCAGTGGCATATCTTGTTCATTCTATAGCCACTGCATTAGACCGAAAAATGTAAATCCGTACGGCTTCTCTTCCTGGATTATTCGAATGTCTTTGGAAGCCTGGATACATCAATGTTAATGAACCTGCTAACCGAAAATAAAGTTCACCCGGGTATGTGTACTCTGTTACGTGACTATTTTACGGGTCGTACTCATTTCACCAAGTTAAACGGTAAGAAACCCTCTGTCCTCCGTGTCGACTGTGGTGTTCTACAGAGAGCGATCCAATCACCTTTTCTATTTTCCTTGTATGTTGAACATCTCCCTATACAAACCACGTTTATTGGGTGTAAATATGCTGATGATGTTGTGCTGGGATGTATGTCCCCCCACTAACCAGGATTCCTCATCACTTCAATGTGGGTTGGAAGATCTGGTGGAATGGTCTTCATCCAGATCTCTTACGCTTAATGCGTCTAAATGCAGTGATGTAATATTTTCTTTTCTACGTGGCGATAAGTTGCAGTCCCTCATAGCTTTCTCCCCCACACTTACTGTGAATGAAAATCACATACCCAGCTCTTCCACCGTCAAGTATTTCAGCGTCTTTTAGTTTCAGAATCTTTCTTGGTCCACGTATGTCTGTAAAACTTTTCAAAAGGTCAGAAAACTTTCTTTTTATGCCCTCAGAGTTAAGGTGCTTTCAATACCTCGTACTTTAATATTCAGGTTTGTGACCTCTTGGCTATACTGCTCACTTGTCATTTTCCCTGGACTGCTTCAGAAAGGCTACATCTTATTGGTACGATCGATAAAGCACATTACTAGATGCAGCGGATTGTCTAGAGATTCTTTAGTTGATTTGATCATTTCTAGACATCTTGATGCCTGCAATGATTTTTCTTCTAAGATACTACCTGATCGATTTCATCCACTTCACGACGATCTTTACAAAACGTTCTCTTTCTTTTCTACTGGTTCAAAATTCCAAATTTTATTCCGTCGTACGTCATCGTGTCGTAATACTGTTTGCCTTATCTCTCAGGTTTGCTTGTTGACACAGCAAAAGTCACTAACATACTGTGCGAGCGGTTGTTGGAGTAACACTTCCGCTTTTTCCCACTTTTCTACCCAAACATGTATATTGATATTATCATCCAGATGTCCGCAGTTGTGGTGTAAATGCTGAAAATGAACCCATTAGGGTTCATAAAGCTTATTTTAACTTAAGTTTGACTATAATGGTTTTAGCCGGATCAATAAGTAAGCATAACAAGTAGTTAGGAAGGAATTGTAAGAAGACGCGATACGAGAAAATGGGACGAGACTGGACTCCAACGCGACGAAAGTAGACATTATTGAGGTGCGGCGGTTCGTGTCTCAAAGATCCATCGAGTTGCATTGCGTGGCGCTTTTTGAACCATCAGAGCCAGTCACACCAGATTAGTCAACGGTAATAGACCAAACGAACTTAGTATCCTTGCCCCCCATGTTGAATAATAGAATGAGAGCGATTCCCTATTCATCAAATCTGAAATCCACTTGGCCCAATGCCATGTCTAGGCAACCTGACAGCAGCATGCTCACGCAATACAATGACCGTAAACAATTTCTTGATGCTCTGGTCGTTGCAGAGGATAATCAATAGCGTCCTATCCACCGCAACGAGCAATGTGGATATGGGTTAGAATGCTACCGCAAAAGCCTTCCCGTCTTCTTATTCCCCATCTTACCTCCTTCACCAAAATCGTCCCGTTGCAACTTCCCTTTACCCCCTGTTTCAACCCCCGAGTTTTGGTCACCCCTACCTTGCTTTGATATTCGCACGTCTTGTTTCGACTCACAAAATCACGGGCCGTGGCTTCGGCCCAGTCGACAAGTTCATGCCCAACCTAGTGGATAACCTCAGTTCATTTGTTACTATTTGGTGTCCTTGATTGTGAATCGGTCAACAGACGGCACTTTCCCGAACATTAGAGACCCTTTTGATCGATGGTTGCTGTTGACCAGAGACCCGCCCACAAGAGTCGAGCTCCATGTTCACCCTGAGATCCACCTCATGTGACGCTGGCGGCACTTTCGCACTGCGTCTATGCACGGCTTCCAATACCAGTCAAACCGGAGTGTAGATGGTTCTGAGCCCCGAAGTGAAGCAGCTGTGGCCGACTGAATCACAAGCTGTCCTGAGAGAATGAATCGCAATCAACAGCCGGATGTGCGCCATCCAACTTGCTGGCTGGTTCAGAGCTTTGAAGAATTGCATCTAGAAGGTAAATATTGCCAGAAATGACGGATCAATACAAGTGAAAGTACAAGAGGAAACCACATTGGACAGGGCACTACATGAACTTTCATAGCTGCGTCCCACACAGCTACAAAAGGACGTTGGTGAGAAGATCAACTGACTGGGCATACAAAACCATCAAACACCACAGAAGCCAAACCCAAACAAATCAAACAAACAGTTCTGGAGAACGGAGATGCGGAGAGCCCTATCGAGTCCATGTGAGGAGAAGCATACCAAGAGTGCCGAAACAGACAGTCAAAAAGAAACATTTTCCTGGCCCTTCCATTCAAAGGAAATAGGGTAGCTGAGCTATGCACACGTAGACTAAGGCAAAACTGCAAAAGGACCTTTAATGAGGCCCAAATGAGAGTAGTTTTCACAAGCAGACACTTACTAGTTTCTGGATTCAAAGACCGAGTACCTGATCATCTCCAATCAACGTTGATCTACCGGTCCACTTGACCATGTGGGGCTAGGTATGTCGGACGTATGACCAGGGAATGATTGTACTGCCGCCTGCGGTACTGATGTCTACGATCCGCTCTGCGTGATGCTCAATCCGTCGCAAAATCAAAAGCCAAGAATCGAAGACGGTGCATATTCTGTGAAAAGGGACGGTTCTACGTATAGGTCAACCAAACGTTTAATTATGGGAACCTTGAACCCCCCGTCATCAGCAGCTTGGCCTCAGCTAATGTGAACGGATTTCGTTTTGCCTTGGTTACCATATTTGGCCGTCTGTTTGCGCCAGAGTACGGCCCCTGTTCATTCAGTCGGCGCTTACCCGAATTCGCCAGCCACTCACATCGCACTTGTGTTCCGTATATTTGGTCGGCTGAATGCATGTCAGAATGCAATCTCGTTCATACGATCGATGCACACACGGCCGACGCTTACCCGATTTCATCCGACCGCATGTTTGGCGTAACGCCCATCCAAACTGTTGGCATGGCCTAGTGCGGTAACGCCGTGCGTGAGTATGCGCTTCGGTTAGGCGCCCAATAGGAATCAAGATGCACCTCCAAGAAGGGCTCTTCAATCAAGCAAATGGAACAAGCTACAGTGCAAGTATGAATCATCCAGTTAACATCGAGCACCGGATAGACAAAAATACTACCTTCCATATTCGCTACAGAATACCGCCTAGGCATAGCTATCGAGTAATAGCAAGCGAACTTGTCACTGCAGAGACAGGAGGCGTAGGGTTAACAAGCCCCGACCTGTATGTTCAGAACAAAAAGGTACAGCCACTGCGAACACCGTGGAAGTGACTGCACTCCTCAAACCCCATGAGTTCAATCATGAGATCAGATGACTGGTATCATGGTCACAAGCGAAATTAGCTAGTCATTTGATTCCTTGTTATGCTGGCGATCAAAACCAAGCTTATCCTACGTATGTTAATGCATAAGCCGGAGGAAAACAATTGTATGATGGAAGCATCCTGTTTTTGTCTATATTGATGAGGTTGAAAGAATGCAAATCATCCGAAATCTTTCGTAAGGATATTCGCGGATTGTTAACTGTTGAAAAGACCTGTTAAGCTGCTGAGACAAAACGTCAGGAGAGAAGTGGAATGGGAAGAGACGGTCCAGCAGACATCTGAGATGTACTATCACTCGCCATCAGTCTAGCTTGCATTTCCAGCTCATCATTCGGTATCAAACCATTCGATTTCCCGATAGCTGTCGGGTTCAAGAAGACATTCTGACCTGACACGCAGGCAAACATACGAATTAAGTTAGTTATTTAAACATTTGCACACATGAGATGATCGAAAGTACTCTAAAAGTGAAAACATCGAACGCCTTGCAGCCACAATGACCAAGAGAACCAAATCTCTCATTGATCATCTTTTTTCTCTTACATAATCTGTGTCCAAAATGCCGCGGTATGTTATTGACAAATACTGTAACATCGATAGTCCCTAAAACACAACACTTATTTCCACCCCCACCCCCCATTTCTTGCTTTCATCTATTGATATTCAATTTCACCCTAGTGTGAGCATCTTAAAATTTATTTGCACAGTCACCCCTCACACTTGTCTTAAACGTCGCATGTCCATGGAATATACTATCTTCGGAAAACGAGAGATATCAGCTTGAAAACTACTGATTGACGACAGTATTGGAGATATAATCCAAAACAGAAACCGGCGTCTGGCTCGTTGAGGATAGTTCGGGGAAACGTTGGGTAGGTATCATGATGCTGAGATACATCGTACTCAAACGGTGCAAAAAGGACAATCAGTTAATACACAAGGTAGGCTGGATGGTTCAAAAAGTGGTCATTTTGTTTCTGTGCGGTTGACCTAGGTGCTATTGCATCTTCGGTCAAAAATAGAATCACAGGTTAGAAAGGACATAATTGCAGCAAACGGAACTAATCGGGCATAGGGCATGTAGTCGGAAGCAATAGGTATAAAAATCGAGTGAGCACAAAAATGACACGTATGGGAGCAACCGGTTGCTAACGCACCAAGAGCGTACAGTGATTCCTTCTTAGACATGCATGTAGTCTTTATCAATGTCTGAAATATTATGAACAGTCGTGACGAGTTGTGCGGCGCCGTTGCCTCTGAGCGGTCAGATGCACTAGCACAGACCTGAGTGGATCATCACATAATCCCCATAGGAAGTCGAACTCAGTGACTACTATTGCTTTCGTTCTGAAAGGGTATCAAATGACCACAGTAGCGCACTGATATACATCTGAGTTTCTCTGTGTGAGAGACTACTGAGCACCTGCCGAAGCGACGATTACCTATGTGAGCAGATGTGGTGGTCGTTCCACTTTGGGAACGGAGAGATGTTCATAGGTGCGGTCCATTTGTACTTGAGTCGTTGTTTGGATTGATTGCCTCATATCCTAAATCACATAAGTAGACTCATTTCCTACTCAGAGATGGATGATACCAATTTTCCTCAAACACTGGAATGGAGTTTAGCTCCTACTCGGGAGCAGTGATGTTGAGGCGAAATTCGCGGAAACGATAAGGAAAGTGGAGCAGCACAATACTTCAGCCAGTCAGCGCATAACATCGCACTCAGTTCCATCGTGCTCGGGTCTGATATTGACGAGCTGTGAACATGGGAATGGTATTCAGAATCTTTAACCCCTAGCAGCAACTGGGCACTCAATGCCAAATTCCCATTTGCTGAAGTTAGAGTACAACCACTGGAAAACTAACCTCGACATTCTAACTGGAACTGCGAGTCCAGTGGATTGGCAGCTGTCCCAGTCTGAATCGTTTTGGGGCGTTATACGGTCACAGAAGAAGAAGCAAATTTGTTGTGTGCTAGGTTTGTACCACTCATGTACCCTAGAATTGAACCAGCGAAACCAGGATGTAAGATAAACTGGCTCGGCATTGGCGTAAGGTATAGGACAGATTCCTCCACTCCGACTACCGACCACTACAAGGTGTGTACGAAGCAGTGGAATATCAGCTGCGATGTGAGATGGAGTAGAGGAGGGCAGTTGGAAGAGCAGTTTGCAACCGCCTTGAAGACGGCTCCGAGAGAATCGCTGCTTTTCTGAAGCGATGCCCGAAGCCTGCAGGTGACGTACCAATGCTATAGTCCGAACGCATAGATCCTAGCTTCCAGCACTGAACGCGCTTCCCGTTAGCCGTTCACTTCGCATCTGTATTTGCAAATGACCAGGCGTCTGCGCTTAGTTAAGTGTGAACCGCTTCTACTGAGATCGGCAGCCTGGATTACGGTGTGGAAGAGATGCGTCAACTGCTCGCCAAACGACACTACGCATGCTGAATCTGAGGGGATTCATATGCCAATTCTCAAACTGTCAGCAGCAATCACATCTCCTGTGATTGGCCTATTCAATAGATCGCTATCCGAAGAGTCATTGTAGAGCGATTGAAATGCCCAGTAGTAAGGCCGACTTCGAAAAGTAGTGACCGTAGAAAAGTGAGCAAGTACTGACCGATCGTTCTGATCCCTACGTAGGCCAAGATAGCCGAGATTATCTTGAAGTAGAGTCTGCTACAAAGCCGGTCTTATAATAGGCCACTCATATCACCAACACGCTTTTGACAGGGTATGGATGGTTCCAGGCTATGAAACGAGGGAAGTCTGTCGGCGTCAGGTAGATAGATTTCAAGAAAGCGGTCCACAAGGTGAGTAATACGTTTTGTGTTACGCTAGCAACCCACTGTACCGATGGATCTACGAGTCTCGGGTTAGACGAAAATTAAGGATACGGGTCGACGGCAATCCGACCTACTGATATTGCTCGACAAGTGCCGTGGCTCCCAGCACAGGAATGGGCCTATTTCAATTTTGGTCCCCAATGATTTCTCGGACCCCAGTGTGTCCTGCTCGCGAATGACTTGAAGGTGTGGAGAGTTAAAAGTACTCACGACTATTACGGCTCCCTTAGCAGAATCTCAACTGCTTCTCCATGTGGTTTGCAGAACTCTGTCTTCCGGTCAACCCAATCAAGCTGATACTGCCGAGCCTGGAGAAGGGCATGACAGCCGAAGCTACACGCTTGACAGTTAACCGGTTCACTTACACACATTACGTCAAGGACCTAGGTGTACTCTCAACTAGAAATCCGTAAACAACCCGAATGGGTTATACAGAACCGGACTACATATGCTTTGGGCGCTCAAAAGCAGTTTGCGCACTTGATACGAGGTCACCGTTAGCTTCTTCTTCTCCACCGTCATACAGCTAATGTTAGAGTACGTATTACATGCCTTCTGCCCGATCACGCACTGTGAGATGGCCGACCGAGTCCAAAATAGCACTATCTGACGAATGCACATTTCACAGGTGTAACTCATGAAGACCGTGAGGAGAAATTATGGCTGTAAACCCAGTCTCGTCATCGGGTGCTAGTCGACCTCACCACGGTCTATGGAGTCCTAAACCACAGTGACATCTCTGCGATGAGAGTACGGTTCCACCTGAGGCACCAGCAAGCTCATGTGGGTACTGGTAGTTGTTGATAGTTCCGGACCGGGAGTGAATCGTCACACGCTGTTTCGAACGAGGAGTGGCCTATGGCTTGGAACAGTCACGTCGACAAAAGAAAAAAGGTAGTAAACAGCGGTTGGAAAAGTGCGTTAATGGAGAAGGTAAACTGAAACATACTCACTCATCAAGACGTTCAATAGTATGAGGCAATATCGGACTATGTCCAGAAGATACTGCATCGTTAAAGTACTGCCAAAGACTCAAGCCAATGAACTGTGCCACAGTAGTACCAGTGCATGGTTGAACGCAGATAGAAATCTTCGGGATGTCCAACACATGCCAAAACCAAACTGTAAAGCACCGACTAGAAGGGTCGTTCGAAATGTTAACAGATGCGCTCTGCCTCTGCAGCGCGGCGGGGCGACCATCGTACTTGGAGTAATCAGCAAATAAACCTGTTTTCAAAAGCCTTCCATCAACGGTGGCCTGCTCTAACGCCAAAGTCAAGCTTGATTTCTTTGGTGAGGATGAAAGAATTGCAGAGTCATGGCAAGGAGGCGGCTTCACGGGGAAATAACGCTCAATTTCCGCATCTGAAAAATAGGGAGCGACAAAGAAAAGTGCAAATGCATTATGGTTAAGTAAAGGGCGATGTTAAAAAGCTCCGCCATGTGTAGGTTTCCAATTTCTCACAAAACAAGCCCAGAGGATGAAAAGATACGTATATTGATGGGGATATTTACACTAAGTATGTTCTTCATGTTGAGGATGGTGCTGCATACATCATGCTTCAGCACTACAGTCGCGCTACACCGACTTACACATAAAATAGATCTTAATCTGGATAAAAAGTATTCCACTTTATTTTATTTACCCAGTTCTGTTATCTTGCTCTATATCCCGTTACCATATTGTGTGTTCACTTTCCTCTAAATTCTGTGTCGATTGTTTGATAGCCCCGCTGTGGCTGCGCTTGATGTGAATGTTGACAAGGTGCCTACCTGTCTAACACCCTCCACCTCGATTACTGACTCCAGGAGACCGCTAATCGTTAATTGGGCGACGGGGTGCACAGTCCTCGTAACGGTGATAGGCCCAAACATTGGATCGATGCACTCAGTAGGAAGCGGACTACGATCCAGCCACCGTCTTTTGTACGTCTGGTATGTATGAGCTCCCAAATAGACAGGAATCTTTCTACTGTGTATGTCAAATAAGTGTGGGACGGCTCCGTTGATGAAACGTGGCTCCCATCCACATGCCTCCCGGTAGTAATAATTCGGGTTTACACTGGATATGGGATGTGTGGATGGAGCTGTGGGTGGTGCATCACAATCTACTCATGGTTCCTCTGTAGGCGCAGGCGTCCTGTGGTTGTACTACGGAAGCAGGAATAACAGACAAATCCGGAACCGGATGTCACCAACCATTTTAAATCGAAAGGGAGTGGAAGCGAAACGGAATACGATTACATATGAAAGTGTCCTCTCACTGAAGTGCTGTATATGCAGCTTCATACACACACAGTAAAATCTCCGAAATTGGCCATCTCCACATCTAGACCACCTCAGCAAGTTGATCGTTTTACTTTTTGTTGCTTGAACGTTTGCCATGTAAGCCTCATGGATCCAGACCTATGTATACTGATGACCTCTCTCTGTTGACTACTTTGATCCAGTCTCCTGAGTGGTCAATTTACGGAGGTTTTACTGTCGATGACAACAAGCCGAAAATGGAATTTGCGAATCGCAGTAACATTGTTGAATGGTTCAGAAGCATGAGCCAAAGCACAGTGTGTTTTATACGACGCAAGCCTGTCAGATTCATGGGAACAAAGAAAGGCACTCAGTTGTGGCCCAGTCTTGCAGGATACCGCATTTTAGCTTGTTCTGCCACTGCAGTAGACACTTTTGTTCAGCAGAAATATTCCGGAGCTTCCATACCTAGCCATTGGGTCTCCAGGTTAACAGTGATCTACTCCTAAATTGGTGGAAAACCAGGCCATGTTCAGTTAGAGACAAAGTATTAAAGTAGCTTACTTTATTTAGACATGCCTGCAATCGGCACCTTCAATAAGCCTGCCATTCCTCCGAGAAAGTAAAACTCAAAAATTGAACTAACTGATTCGAAAAAGCAATACTATGCACAACCACCAAGCCAAATAAATCATATCAAAAAGTGCCTCAGGCTACGTCGAAGTATTTTCAGTTTAGCACAAATCAACTGATCGACTACGATCAGCGTACCAAAGTGTGACAGTTGAGCCACATGGATCAATACCACCGGAAAATAATAACTAAAAACGATATTTTACGAGGGAAAGACAAAAAATAAGAGAAAAATGTTAGGAGTCAAGAGACAGAGGAATTAATGTAAGTCGACGCGACCCAACCTCATCGTCTTTCGGGTCACATTCATCACATCCCATTGTCACGTCATCAAGCGGTTAGCTAAGAGATTCACGTCAGTTGAGCAACCATGATCCGGGTACCGAAGTGCAGTGGATAGACTTGTCACAACTCGTGTCGTTAAAATAATGATAACAACGGTAAGGTAATGAGGTTGGACACAAGTAGGTCGCAAAAAATGGAATCAAGAAAGAAACGCGTTAAACTAACCGGAATGGAATGAAAAGTAACAGCTAGACGCAAGAAACCGAATGCCATCGACTACGCCATGCCAGATAGTCTCCAAGCCTCCTGAGGCACCCCTAAAAGAACACAGCAAGCAACAACTCGACCAAGTCTCTCGATCAATTTCTTCCTTCCCTTATGCCACGCCATCGACTGCTCCCCTCGCGGTTTCGCCCAATTTGGTGTGGCGACGGCGTATAGTGCACGCCGAGGAAGTCGGTCCACGGATTTAGAGAGGATTTGACCTAGCCAATGTAAGTGCTTAATATTCAACAAACACTCGAGTGAGACACCAGCTGGTTTGTTGTCAAAAACCAAATGTTGGATCTCAGCATTGCTCAGTCGGTGCTCTCACCAGATGTGAGCGATACGCCGCAAGCATCGGTTATCAAACACGGCTAAACGCCTAATATTTTCTGTGCGAACTAGCCAAGTCTCTGAACCATACAGTAACACCAGCTTTATCAGACTGATATAACGGTTTCCACAAATGGTTGGGCCTCAGAAAGGCTACACGTGCCTTGCTGATACGAGAAGTAACTTTCTCAATTATGTGACCGCCAGAGGTGACACAGTTAACAAGGTAGCGAATCAACCCACCACTACCAGTGGCTGTTCGCTTACAGCTAAAATCGGTGGCGTATTGACCTAGTGCTGCTATCATACTCCACATTTTGGAGGTGTAAATCACATGCTGTAACGTGCATCGGTAAGCGTCAGACCCAAGGAGAGCTAAGTTGTCTGCGTACTTAAGGTTTGTTAGTCGGTCACCATGCAGAAGTTGTACTTCGGAAGAGTCTGAAAGAACCGAGTCATTTATGATCACCTTGATCCCAAAGTTGAATGGGAAAGGAGAAATAAGCAAACCCTGACGAACCTCAATTGACATGGAGAACACAAGAGAAAGCCCGATCAGTAGAGTCAAAGACGGCCTTTAGGTTAAGGAAAACTACGATATCCGGTTGTCTGTAAGTGTGTCCCTGCTCTAACACTTGTTGAAAAGTAAATATGTGGTCGAGGTAACCAAGACCAGAGCGGAAGCCAATCTGGTTTTCAGTGGTTCGGTTCTCATTTGCCGAAGAATGATACCCTTGAAAAATTTGGGAGCAGTAAAACTAAGGCAAATATCTATATAATTTTCGAACAAAGTACGCTGAATTTTTTGAAGATGGGTACGACAGATGATTCATCAGCCTGAAGGCGTCTCTTCAGTGTACCAAATCGTGTTGACCAGAACAGCAAGTCCAGTCAATAAACTCCATCTTTCGGTAAAGATGTGTGAAGATCGTTGGGTCCAAGAGTTTTATTTCGTTTCAACACAGCAAACTCATGTCGAATCTCTTCCAAAGTGAGAAGCGTGACATCTAGTTTCCAAGTGGTCTAATCTGATACAGCAAACGGAAGTATCACAGCAGACCTAAGGAAGTGTTCTTCGAAATGTCCCGCCCAAAGAGCAGATCGAAAGGACAAAGAATGGATCAACTGTCCATCATTCTCGGCTTTTACCTCGTTTGTTGACGGCTGTCTCGGACTTGCGATACGGATAAGCTGGAAAGTACCTGGCTATTTTCATTTCACAGGCTCTTGCTACTCACCATCATTCCCCGATCGATTCGACGACTCTTTGTCAGACGTCGTTACAGGGCGTTACGTACACTCTGAAACTCAGCACCCACTGGCCCATCGCCATGAGAGTGGACCTTAACGTGATGTGATGGTTTGTGTGCCTCAGCGATCAAATGGGCAATGCTGGGTGGTGCATTTGAAGTGAGAGTGGCTCCTTGCTCATTAAAACGGACTCAATGTAGCCTAGTGCCAAAATCCCGCGCTGCCTTGTGGTCAGGCATGTGAATTAAAATCTTTGGTTGAGAAACCCTAATCGTCCTCCTGTCTAGGCCTGAGCAACCTGACAGTGTCCTAACCAGGCAATACAATGAACTTAAACAACTTCTTGATGCTCTGGTCGTTGCGGAGAATAATCAATGGCGCTCCATCCGCTGCATTGAGCAGGGCGGATATGGGCAAGGATACTACTACTCAGGCCTTCTTGTCTTCTTCTCATCTCTTCTGTGCCTTTTCATCCTTATCATTCCGCTCCAACTTCACTTTTATCCTCCCTGATTTCAATCCCCCAATTCTTGGTCCTCCACCATCTTGCCATGATAAGCATTTGTCCGCTAGTTTCAACTCGCGCGCAATCGCAGACATCGTTCCAGGCAAGTCCACAAGTATATGTCCAGCCAATCGGACAACGTCAGTTTATCTGTTTCTGTTTGGAGCGCTGGATCCACCCTAAGACTGGCATGCCTCAATGAGCGCAATTCGTTGCAGTATGCCCAACAGGTAGCACTTATCCGAACACTAAAGACCCTATTAATCGATATCTACGCTAACCAAAAACGCGCCTGCAAGATTCGAGTTTTGTGATAACCCTGCGATCCCCAAACTGGCGATATTTTTCCATTGCACTTGTCCGGAGATGAGGCAGCCTCAAAAGGCAGTTAAGAAGGTTTGGGCACTGCTCTTAGCCCAGGGGCTGAAGCTGCACCGACCGACTGGATCCCAATGAACGGTCGGATGTGCGCTGTCAGATTGGCTGGCTTGTTCAAAGAAGCGAAGTCACGTGGGGACAAACGGTACCTCATCGACATTGCTACATAAGCGTCCACAAAGTTTAGGGCTGACTCAGTAAAAGGCGACATTTATCACTAATTGAACGCGCTCCTTCGTTAGAAAAAATGCATGGACACTGTGGTGCTTGCTGGTAATCTGAACGCCCAAGTCGGAAAACTGACCACTGATGAGCCTCATCTGAGCGGCCAACTCGGTGTAGGCCCCCTAATGGTTATTTCACCTGTGGAAAGATGCTCGTCTGTTTCTCGCGAGCACTAACTTTGGCCAAAGCACCCGCAGAAGGGTGACGTAACGCCAATCATCCTTGGGCCAGCCATGGACGCAAA